TCCTGTGGCAGCAAGTATTACTACAACAGCGCTTTCCTTCGTCTTTGATATTCCTCAAACCATCAAGGGCTACAACAACGCCATTGATGGCGTCTTCAGCGAAGTTTCTTCAGCACTGTCCCAGTTTCAGATTTACCGATCTGTGGAAAATCTCGATCCGTTGCTGGTTGAACAAATCCACCTGGTTTTGGTCAGTTTCGTCAAGATCTGCGCCCATGTCGTCAAGTATCGCCAGAGTCGCAAACGCGACCGCTTCTGGGAGCAAAACAAGTTCGTCTTCGGCGAGAACTCGGCTTTGAACGACGAGATGACCGAGTTCAAGGGGCTTCTTCAGAGCCAACGTGACGTTGAAGGCACCGTGACGCTTGCTGTGGTTGCAGAAACGAGGAAGGGCATGGCCGTTGCACTCGAGAAGATTGTCGTTTTCGGCAAGATCGCCGAGGAAACGCATCAGACGGTGCAAGAGACGCAGAAGGGCGTGCAGTCTCTCAACGACGACTCGGACCGCACCAAGACTCTGACCAAAATTCGCGACATTCTAGGTGTGCCATTGACGGTTCACCTTGACACGACAACCACGCAGACATGCGTCGACCTCGCCAACAAGTGTCTCGAAAACACTGGTTCATGGATCTGGAAACATGATTCATATCTCTCATGGACTGCGGGTCAAGAAAAAGATGTGCTTATTGTCTCTGGTCCTCCATCCTCTGGCAAGACGTCAGCTTGTGCTCTCATCACCAAGCGCCTGGAGGAGCAAAAAGACCGTACCTACGTCGCGCATTATTTCTTTCCACCGAGTGCCAGAAAGTCGGATGACAACAAGAACTCCGTGCAGTCTGCTTTAAAATACATGGCTTTTCAAATTGCTCGGGTCGATGCCACGGTACTGAAGACGTTGGGCAAGGCCTGCGACACAAAGCCGGCAGTCTTTCGCTCCTCGACAAGCTCGGACCTGACTAATTTGTGGAAGGAACTCAACATTGGGGCCGCTGGTTCGGGAGCCACATACTATTTTGTGTTTGACGGCGTTGAAAACCTACCTGACGCACAAGCTGGGATGCTGCTGGACTTTGCTTCCGACTTTCAGGTGGAGCAAGAATCGGCCGGGCGGGTGCGTCTACTGATCAGCGGCACGAAAAGCTTGTTTGACAAGAACGCGAATGTCAGCGGAGCGCTTCGAATTGACGTGGAAAAGCACAATCAAGACGACATGCGCATCTTCATTCAGGATATGCTCAACAAAAATGGACTACTGCAAAGCACAAAGCCAAACTCGGAACAGGAAAGGGCAAAGGTCAAGATTCTCGAAAAGATACCTCCCAAGGTTGACGGAAAGTACTCACTCTTGCGCTTTGAGTTGGACAGATTGATGCGACAACTGAGCAAGCGGACTGCAATTCAGGAGCTCGACGAAATGCTTGACCAAACAATGAGCAGTCTTGAAGCCGCTATCAAAGATCTGGAGCGCTCCCTGACCGCAGACGAGATTTCTGAGCTCAATGAGTTGCTGAAATGGGTCATGTACAGCCATGATTACATGTCTTTAGCACAGCTTGAGGCCGCTATGGTAAGTTCCCTCGTGTACGAAGTAAGACGCATAGACTGATGCGAAATAAAGGTATTGACGTCCGACATCGCTTCACTGACGTCCCTGGAGTACGTCATTCGAACCAAATACTCAGCCATACTGAGCATTGAAGATGAATACTACGTTTATCTCCAGGACGGAGTGGAGGAATATTTGCAGAAGGTTGACACCTCTTCCGGACAATCGCAGCAGTCAACGGGAGGATCGACCATCAGTATGACCATTTCCATCAACAATGTCGACCAAGAGCTTTGTGGAAATTTCCTGTGGGACCTTGCGGACATGGCAATTCGAAACAAATTCAAGTTCAACTTCGACGGCGAGGCTTTCAAACCAGCGCATAGCAACACGAGACCTATTGCTGTTGACGAGCTCGAAGCAAACTACACTATTGTCACTCAAGCCTTCAAATACTTGAGCAATGAGCCTACGGATGGGACACAGAATGTTGGCCGTTATGTTGTTGAATTCTTGCCATACCACCTCAATCGCATTCGCGAGCTCGAAGATGAGGATAAGGGAATGTTGAGAGACGATCAGCGTTCAGAAATTGGCCAGGGTCTGTACAAAATCTTCAGAGACGACACAGTCTTTCAACGCCATATCAAAATCTGGCAGGATATAGAGTGGTCTGTGGATGAGATGAGAGCCATCCAAACGTGGCTGATGGACTCCGCGGCGGTGCGAAAGGTGGATAGGAAATGGCGTACGGCTGTCCAGAAGGCTCCCAGTCCTATTACGGGCTACTTGAATGAACTGGTCAAGATGGTGTTGCGGGGCCTCTTGAGACAGAGAAGCTGGCAAATGCACAACGCTTCAAAATGGTTGAAACGCTTCATGGAACTGGTAAGTCACCTGCAACTAGCCAATCGCCATTCAGACCTGTATATTGACGGAAGGCAGGACCAAGTTCAACCCACGCCGTCCCCAATGTCTCCAGACGATTCCAATGAAGAGAGGTACGAAGTCAACTCATATATTGCTTCTCTTGAGAGCAATATTGACTGGGAAGCCGCAAATAAATGGTGTCAAGATGTATTGGGTCTGCCGGACACTGATCTGGACTCTCTGTGGTATGAGGGTTTGGCCAAGGCCGCATCGGCAAAGAATGACAATGAGGCGGCAATCTCGCTATACAAGCGAGCTATCGAATGCGATAACCCGAGCTGGCTGTGTTACCGTGAACTTGGGGTAGTATATGACTGCTTGGACTTGAAGGCGGACGCCATCGAACAGCTCGAGATTGCTCTAGACAGAGCAGCGAAGGATAACGCTCACCCCGAGGGAAACAACGTGGAGATTGTCACAATGCATCTCATACTGGCGGAAATTGCTGCTAAGATTGACAATGCGCGTCAAGCGGCGGACCATTATTCAGTCGCTTGTGAGAGCGAAGAAACATCACAAGTCATATGGGGCCACATAGGTCTTCTACGAGCGACCCTGAGCCTCGCTGACCCTGCAGAAGTCATACAGGTGTTGGAGAAGATCTTTTCGCAGACTGACCAAGAGCTGACACTTGAATTCCTCAGATCGATCATGCTTGAGGATGGCTATGATTCCCTTATCTGGAGCGTGTTCCGCTCAGCCAAGGACCACACAGGTCTTCTCAAGAAGATCATGAAATCGATAGAGTCCGCGACTGCGATTCTTTATCGGAGGGATACCAACAAGATGCCCAGTGTACAATACATCGACGATGAAATCAGGGGCATGTTGTTGTACTACCAAGGTGTAGGAGCTTACAACTTCGGGGTCTCGGCTAATGGCACAAAGCCGACAGAAGAGGCCATACGGCTTTGGACGGAAAGCAGAGACTTTCTCAAAAGATGCGGCGGACCAAGCGCGCTCAGAGCGCGATCCAAAGCTACATCAGCACTCTCGAATCACTATTTTGAGAAGTTGATGGACGAGGGGTTGCAACATGACCACATAAAGGCATTAACCAAAATGGTGAAGGATGACTCTGAGTTTACAAACATCGATATGGAATCTATTGGACTTTTGGGGGCTCTCTACGCGCGGAATAACGACAAGGAAAGAGCCCGAGAGGTTCTCCGACATCGAGTCAAGGAAGCTTTGCAAATTCTTTCGGACGACATTCCCGAGAACGACTACGTGGGTTTCGATATTCTCTTCCAGAATTTTTTGCATTGCCAGGATCTGGAAGACGCTTCCATCGCCTTATCTCTGCTCATCCCCCCGGACACCGTCACAGTTGCCCTGCAATTCAGTCCTGAGGACTTGAAAGAGATCAGTCCAGAGGACAGGCAGCGGGTGATGGAGGCAGTAAACACTTTGGCGCAAGACATCATCCAGGCTACAAGGGCGAAGGTTCCGGATCTCTTCAAACAATACCAACGCCTCGATGCTGCCCAAGCCTACTTCGAAGATCATATTGCCGCAGCTGGAAGCAAGAATAACGACAAGTACAACAGCAATGTCGAGACAGAGAACGCAGCCGATGGCGAAACTAAACCTACGCCCAACGGAGATGTGGCCACTCTCCACGCGCATTCTTTGCTTCGAAGCAGGCTGTTTGACCCCGAGATCGAGATCTACATGACGAACGTACGATGGGGCGCTAATTGCGATGGTAGCGGTCCCGATGGAAAGAAATGCACCAATCTAGTCAACCGAGACCAGGATTTCTTTCATTGCACGCACTGCTCCAATCGAGTCTTTTGCGGAGAGTGTCTCGCTCGGTTGCGCGATCCTGACTCTGATTCAATGGTCGTCTGCAGCCCGAAGCATCAGTGGTTACGTATACCTCCCCAAGGAGACAGCTTGTATTTTGGGGATTTGGCCAAGAGAGTCCGAAAGCCTTCGGTGAAGGCCATGGAAGGGGACGACAAGGTTTTCATAATAACTCCTTCTGTTGATGAGGAGTGGATCTCAGTACAGGCTTGGCAAGAAGGGTTGGTGAAGGAATGGAAGATATTACAGGAGGAGTTGAAAGGCGATGGAGGACTGCGACCCACGCCTCCGCCCCTGCTGGAAGGGGATGAATAGATGCTGGGGCATTACAAAGGTGGAGATTTTGTAAATTTTGATTTTGATTAGAATTCAAACCTCCTCGTTGATGCATGCAACTTAGTGTTGAATACATGACGTTGTGTCTGATCAAATGACTTATCGCTCAAGTAATGGGGATTGTCTCCCCACCGACCAAGCATCTGCTGTAACTTCCGAAAAGAAAATTGATACTTCGTGTAACTTCCAAGCTTAAATCAATAACCAGTATTGTACATGCTAACCACGTCAACTTCAGTAGAAAATCATCGTCCAAAATGTTTGCGTGCCGTTGTACCGCTAGTCGCGCTTTCGTACTAGCCACTTTAAATCCCACATTCCCTAGCTTCCGAGTTTCGTGAATCATATCTCACTTTCCTCTGATGACTTGTATAGTTCAGAGTTTGGGTTTGGCTGTGGGCGTGACCGTGGCTGATGCGTAGACAGTCGTAACCAACGTGGTTCCCCCTTCTAGGTCGTCCACGATGCAGTCACCCTTGGCACCTTGCTGGATCTTGGCGCAATCCTCGTCAGTGAGCTTCGAGGTAAGCTTGATGCAAAGATCGTCGCGTGACTCTTCAGCTACCCCGCCCCTTGTAGGGCAAAGACCGGAAATTCCGGCGATGTTTTTGCTGTTCGCGTCCGCGCAGCGACATCTAAACAGCTCTTGAGAAAGGGCGGTGCTACAAATGGTGAGCCAATGAGTTCTTGTGAGTAAGGTTTGCGGACATACCTGAAGAGAGCAGCGGCTAGTGTGAGTGCAGAGGCCTTCATTTTGCTTGATTACACGTGCCAGTGATATCAATTGTTGACTGTATTTAGGACCTTTGTTTTCGAGAATGGGTTCAAGAATACAAGAAGTAGTCAACGACGTGGTAAAGAGCCTGGCTGTTCAATAGTGCATGACGGGTGGCTGGGACTATTTATCATCGACGATGGGGTGTGGGCATTCATCCCCAAAGAACAGGAACGGTGGATACAGCCCTACCGGCTATCTGACGGCCTTGAACGGCGTGCCGACGTCGCAATCAATGGCGCAGCAAATTCACAATAATATCCACGTTACTGACTCAGTAATGGCCATCAAGAACGCTTCTAGAAGACGGCCTCCCAACATGAAACAGGACATGCCCTGCTGATGCGAAACCTGCTCCCCGACTTTAGCCAGCTTTGAAGGCCTCGTGCTAAATAAAGCAGCCTTGATCCCAGTTGGCATTGTTGACAACTGCGGATGAACTATCTATCACATTCCAACCGTTTGCTCGGCTCATCTTGGCGAGCGGTTCCTTTCTTCAACCCTTAGACTTACGCCTAATTATGCGGTGCTCAGCCCGGATTGTGGGGTTCATCGAGGTGGCTCCTCGAACTCTATTTCCATGTCCTTTGCCGAAGGCAGCAAAGACTTCAGAACATCGCAATGTGAGTCAAACAGTGGAGCGACCTCAAATAAAGTACAGTGAACTTTAATGTTCATGTGTCTCGCTCTCATTTGCGCCAGATTCAAATAGCAGCTTTCGGTATGCTAATATTTCCCGCTTCGCCGCCATCGTTTGTCATTTCACAAATGGGTCGATCCATTTTTCGATAAGCTCAGGGAGCAAGTTCGAATCATCTCATCCAAACCCTTAGTATTTTGTGTTGGTCTGACATCACTGTACCTGTCTGATGTGCTGGTTATTGTGGGCCCGGCGAATCCAAAAGCGTGGTCTGGCTCAGTCGACACCTGTAACACGCTCAGGGGCGGCCGACGGGATAGTGAGCTCTTAGCTAAGGCTACCAATGGGCCTTACGGGCGGAATGATATGGATGTGGCACAACACTAAGTTTGATTATCGAAAACAGGTTATTCAACATTAGCATTGGATTCTAGTCGGTCCCACGTCCATCAACAACCTATGTCTGCTATTACGATCCGAGTCATCGCTCACCACGCAACTCTTGCAATCGGACCTTGCGGGAGTAGTCTCACAAGCAACTTTCGAATCTCATCCATAAATAAGATGCCCAATGCCAGAGGCACAGGAATGAGCCAGAACTCAATCGGAACCGAAGCTGTGCCGAAAAGCTTCTGAATTCCAGGCACTTCGGTGACAAAAATCGCAATCGCAAGACTGATGATGGCGCTCGCAATAAGCCATGGGTTTCGTCTCTTCTTGGTGATTGGATCTGCCTGGACGATACTGAGTCTCCGATTGCGAACCGCGAGGATATTACCCCACTGGAGGAACAGTAACGTGACAAAATAGACGCACTGGCCGGTTGCATTGAACTCGGTGAGCTCATCCAGCGTGTACCCATGGTAACCTTCTGCATAGCCCTCAAACAAAAAGAAAAGCTCATGAATCGGGAATCCGGCGTACTTCCACATGTAGAAAAAGAACATTGAATGCGCGCAGACCGTCTCCATGAATCCCGTGAAGAGGTATGCTTGAGCGTAGATCTTGAGATTGATGAGGTGATCGCGCTTGGCGTTGCGAGGGGGCAGAGACAGCAAATCAAACTCTTGCTTCTCCATGATGAGCGACAGAGAGAGGAATAGGTCGGTGAAGACGCAGATGACGATCATGAGGAAGACGCTCAACGGTAGAGGAACTCCAAAGAAGACGTTGACGAGGACCGGCCAGATCTCGGACCAGCTGCCTGCAGGAAGAAGATACGCAATAACTTTCTGCAGATTCTGAAAGACGAGACGTCCGAGACGAATGGCATCGACGATGGAGTCAAATTGGTCCATGAGAACAAGATCGGCTGCCTCAATCGCAACATCACTGCCTGTGACGACAGCTACGCCGACGTCAGCAGCCCGAAGTGCCGGAGCGTCATTAACACCGTCACCAGTCACCGCGACCACATTCTCACGGTCGCGAAACTCATTGACGATGCGCAGCTTCTGCTCAGGAGTCGTGCGTGAGAACACAATCTCGTCGTATTCGCATACAATGTCCCAGTCCTGTGCCATCAGCCGAGCGACGGAAGCTCCCTCGAGAAGGAGACTGCGGCCGTTTCCAGCAAGGCGCTCATGTCGCAGCTCTTCAGCTGTGGGTGTCATGCCCCTCCTGATGGTGTCGAAGGTGTCAGGCTGCGATGTGGTGAAAATGCCAATGTTGTGAGCTATGGCGGCGGCGGTAACTCCGTAATCACCAGTAACCATGAAGAATCTAGCGCCGGCACGCCGACAGTTGGCGACGGTTGAGGCGGCCTCAGGTCGGGGAGGGTCGATGATGCCCAGGATGCCCACAACGGTAAGGTTCTCCAAAGCTTTCATCGAAACTTCATCACTGAAGGCATTGGTTCCAGGTGAATTGACAGTCTCCAATACTTTCTCGCAGATGACGACAACTCTCTCGGCGTTTCGAGACAGCTTATCCTGAATGTCTTTGAACGACATCTTGGCATTTTCGTCAAGGGCCTCGGTTGATTGTGTTCTTCCCGACCAGAAGCTAGCACAGGCTGGCAAGAGAACATCAGGTGCACCCTTGACAAACATGCGGAACCTGTTGCCCTTCTCCACGGTGCTTTCGTGGACCAGTGTGAGCATCCACTTGTTCTTGGAGTTGAATGGAATGGAGAACACTCGTGGGGAATTTGACACGATCGCGTCTCCGTCTCGGGCTGAGGCAGCAAACTTGAGGACGGCGACGTCCGTCGCGTTCCCTTCCGCTGTTCTCTCCCTAGGGGGGAGATGCACTGTGTCTGCTTCGAACGAAGCATCGTTGCAAAGGAGTGAAGCTTTCTGAAGCATATTAAAGATCGCCTTAGGCTTCTCCGTGTCGAGAGCTTGGTGTACAACGTCAGGTGAACTAAGAAGCTGGTCCACGAACGCGACAGAGTTGACAGTCATCTGGTTCTGTGTCAACGTCCCAGTCTTATCAGAGCAGATGACATTGACACAGCCGAGGGTCTCCACAGTAGAAAGACCCTTGGGCAAGATGTTGACCGCCTTCATTCTTCGGGCCACCATCATGAGTGTCAATGCGACGGCCACCGGCATGCCCTCGGGGATGAAGGCGACAACGCAGCCCATGACATTGTTCAACATCTGAACCACGTTCATGTAGGAAGGATGATCACGCTTCAGCCAAGCGATCCAGGCCACAAAGATCAAGAGCGCCAGGAAGACTGTGAGAACGACAATGATCCGAACAAATCTCCAAATCTCCTTCTGGATCAGGGTGACCTTCTCTCCGACATCTGTTGTAGCTCGCGCAACTCTTCCCATGACCGATTGAGCACCAGTCAAGATTACAACACCGATGCCGTGGCCGTTTACGACTGTTGTGCCCATCAACGCAATATTACGACTCTCGAGAAAGTTCGGATCGGTCGAGTCGGTGGCGCCTTCGACCTCGTCGGATTCGCCGGTGAGGACGCCTCGGTCGAAACGGATATCGCCTGAGTGGGAAAGAAGTCGAAGATCGGCTGGGACCTTGCTGCCGGTACGTAGGTGGACGATGTCGCCCTCGACAAGCTCGGAAGCGGTCATACGCTTGACGGAGCCATTGCGCATGACGAGTGTCTCGGAAGGAAGGAGGTTGGTGATGGACTTCATGGTCTTCTGAGTGGACCAGTCTTGAAAGGCCGAGAAGCCGGCCTGAAGGAAGATGACGATGAGAATCAAGACAGCCATGGCAAGATTTTGAGCGGAGGGAGGGTCACTCAGGGGCTTCCAGCAGATGAAAAAGATGATAGCTCCGATCCAAAGAACGGAGCAAAAGCCACCAAAGACGTAGACGAAGAGCTTCTTGAGGTAGTTTGTTTTCGGCTCGGGGAGGGTGTTGGGGCCATTCTTCTGAAGACGACTAGATGCCTCATTCTCAGAAAGTCCTTGGTCTGAGGAGACTCCGAGTTGCTGGCAGACCTGAGCACCGGGAAGAGTATGGAAGTTGAGCTCAGCAAAGTACTCGTCGTCGCCTTCCTTGGCCGCTTTGAGGTCAGGCTCTGCATTCGCAGCAGCATGCTGAGACTCCGAGACGTGAATTGAAAGCGTTCGATAGCCGATTTGAATGCCAAAGTTCTCCGAAGTGCTTTGCCGTCGGCGTCTAGACATAGAGCTAGCAGCTGAGTGTGCTGATCGCGGACGACTGGCACTCTTGTTGTTGGCCGGCCGTCCCCGACTTTGATGTTCCGTGTCCTCGTCTCCGCGAAAAGAGATATGGGCGTTGTGACTTCCGCCAGGACGAGTATCTTCTTTCATTTTCTCGGAACTCTCCATGACAACGATGAGGGATAGGCAGTAGAACAGCTCAGCGTCGAGCGAGAAGAGAGGTGATGCACGCAGAGGCAAAACGAGGGATGCACAGAAGATGCAATGCAACAATGTCTGTTTCACCGACAATCCAAAATTCTAATTCGAATTTTATATGCTGAAGCCCTTGCAATTTCGTTTTGTGCAGGCGGCCTCTTCCAAAACGTCACTTACACGAGCCCTGAAGTGACTGGGGAGAATGCCAAGAGAAAATGCCTCATACAAAAAGGGGGACGCGCCCTTTCTCCCTTTCGGACGCGAAGGACATCCATTACGTTAAAATTACCTACAAACTCCAATTTCCCCATGGGAAACGGGCGCAGAGTCCCCCAGACAATAGCAACGCCGTACCAATCGCTTGCCAAGAAATTTGACGCCTGGTCATCAACACCAGATATGGCAAACCGAGCATCATGATTGTTAATCCCTCAGCCGAGACATCACATGGAAACAAGTCGGTGAACGAATTCGGTGATACGTATCCATGAGCACTCTTGTCCTCTGAGCATTGAGCTTTAAAAAAGGGCCA